AAATGTTCAAAAACCAGACCAGCAAGAACATTAAGATTTTCAAATCCGACAATGGGGGAGAATTTATGTGCAGAGAATTGCAAGATTATTTCCGTGACCAAGGAATCCTGCATCAAACATCCGCACCTCGCTGTCCCGAGACCAATGGGTTAATTGAACGGGACATGAGGACCGTGAAGGAAGCAAGCAAAACGATGATCATAAAGGCAGGACAGTCTCCGGGCATGTGGGAGGAAGCCGTGGGGTTCGCCGTGTACATACTCAACCGTCTCCCAAACCGGAACTCACCCAACTGCACACCCTTTGAGCAAGTTTTTGGGTGGCCTCCAGACCTGAGCCATGTCCGTACATTTGGATGCACAGCTTACGCCCAAATTCCGGAGGAGGACAGAGACCCGTCGGATCCGAAGGCAAGAATAGGCAAGCTAGTGGGGTATGGGACCTTCGGACGCAAATTTAAAGTCTACATTCCGGAGAAAAGGAAAGTTGTTCCAGCCAGGAATGTATCCTTCCTTGAGGACGGAGGAGTCCTAACCAGTTACGAGGAAGAGGAGGATGATGCGAAACATGAAAATGAGCAGCAGCAGCAGCAACAGCAGGAGGAGCAGCAAGAGAAGATTCATGATGCATCATCCCAGTCCACTTCATCTCATACCACAAAACCAGATGAGGAAGAGGTTTTCATGGATGCAGATGATGAGGGGGAGACGACAATTCTGGTCGAAACTCCAGAGGGGAACTATGAGTACGACCCAGACAAGAAGAAGATTGAGATCCCCTCCAGGAAACTGAGGTCAAAGGACATGATCAAACCTCCTAAAAAGTACCAATCGTTCGTGGCTTCATCTCCTACAATTCCAAGGAATTATGAAGATGCTATTTCTCAGCCTGAGGGAGAAAAATGGATGGAAGCGATGAAAACGGAGATGCGCAGCCTGGAGGGGAATCGTACTTGGAAATACGTACCGAGACCTCGTCACGCCAAAGTTCTGGAACCAAAGTGGGTCTTCAGTATCAAGAAAAATATGAATGGCGAGATTGAACGATTCAAGGCTCGTCTCGTCGTGCGCGGATACTGACAGCAGTTTGGGGTTGACTACCAGGAAACTTTCTCAACGGTGGCTCGTTTTGAATCCATCCGTTTCATTCTGGCTTTCACAGCAGCAGATGGGTGGAAATACAAACAATTCGACGTGAAGACAGCGTACTTAAATGGCGTCCTTGATGAAGAGATTTTCATGTCGCAGCCAGAGGGATTCGAAATAGACGGGGATGATCTGGTGTGTCTACTTCTCAAGAGCCTGTATGGATTGAAGCAAAGCTCACGATGCTGGAATAGGACCTTCTCAGATTTCCTGAAAAGCATTGGGTTGTTTCCTACACACAGCGACCCTTGCGTGTTCATCGGTGTCATTTTTGGATTCATAGTTATCGTCGTTCTGTACGTGGACGATGGAATTGTGACATCAAAGAGCGAGCTAGCAATTGCGTTTGTTGTGGACGCCATGAAAAAGGCGTTCGAGATCACACGAAAAGATTTGGAGGTGTTCGTCGGAATTGAAATCACCATTGAGGGTGGGACGATGACACTAGCCCAACACCAGTACACTGAGGCTCTACTGGAAAAGTACGACATAACCGAGCGCAGGACTGCGTCCGTCCCAATGAAGCAGAATTTGGATTTGGTGAAAGCTGAAAATTGTGACACTGCATACCCATATCAGGAACTGATCGGCTCACTTCTCTTCCTGGCCCCTGTAACCCGACCAGACATCGCGTATGCTGTGACGAAGCTATCGCAATTTAACACATGCTATGACAAGACCCACTGGGATGCAGCTCAAGATGTCCTCCTGTACCTGAGAAGGACCGGCACTCTGGGGATTCAATACGAATGCAATTCTGAGTTCGTAATCAGTGCCTACACCGACTCTGACTTTGCCGGGGACAAGAATGACAGGAAGTCCACCACTGGGTTTGCAACGTTCGTGAACGACTCGCTTATCACTTGGTGTTCCCAAAAGCAAGATGTGGTCACCCTTTCCTCCACAGAGGCGGAATACACCGCTCTGTGCGCCGGAGCGAAGGAAGTCGCCTGGTTGCAAAAATTTGCAGAGGAAATTGGAAGAGAACAAGAGGAGCCAACAACAATAATGGTGGACAATACCAGCGCAATTCGGCTTGTGGACAATCCCGAATTTCATAAAAGAACAAAGCATGTGGATGTTAAATACCACTACACGAGGCAATTGGCGGAAGAAAAGAAAGTTGAAGTGGTCTACACTCCCACACAAGACCAGAAGGCGGATATTCTCACCAAACCATTGGGAAAGTCCAAACATGCTGACATGGTGGAGAAGATTGGCCTGAAACCCGTCAACCGAAAACCAAGGGGAGGTGGGGGCAGTCTCTTCTGGACCTGGGCAATGATGATGTGTCTCTTGGGAGTAACACAGGGAGTGAATGTCCAAAACTCCCAACCCATTCTCTGGAGAGGAAGCCCTGTTCCTGTAATTTCTGGATATGAGACGGTCTACCTAAGGATAAAATTAATCAGCCCATGCACCCTGCTCACTGAAGAAATCGTACCGAAAGGACAACTGGAGACTGCAAAGAAAATATGCAACGAGATGTACGAGACTTATTTCATCCATGAAATGAAGCAGATGTGTCCTTCTTTCCATAACTTCAGTATGAGCAAGCACAGACCGAAGAGATTCATCCTGGTGGCCCTGATTGCTCTTGGCGCTGTGGTGGTGACTGGACTTGGCATTGGGGGAGTGGTGCTGGCAGCCAACAATGCAGCAAGAATTTCAGATCTGGAAGAAATTTCAAGTCTCCAAGAAAAATCCATTAATCAATTGGAGGAGCAGATGAATTTCACTGAAATTGCCTTGCAAAAATTGCGAACTGATTTCAACATTTTGGTTAAGGACCACGAAGTCCTAGACAAGAATTTGAACGAAATAACAGAGAAGGGCCCCAACACTTACTTTACCATTTCCTACATAACTACGAAGCTGATGATGGGGAAACAGGTTATTAAAGAAGCAACCCGGGCCTGGAATAATAAGAAAATCCTAAACGGGATGATGGACTATTTTAACATAACTCTTCCATGCGGAGAAGATGAGTGTCCACTTTCACTCGCAACAGGAAAGAGATGCTATTTCGGGGAAGACATGAAAGACCTGTACATTCAAGTGGACATGCCAAAGGTCAACAAGGCGCTGCAATTGGTTGAAGCTGACGCATTTGACTTGATGCTACAAACCTGGAACCAGACATGCAGAATCACCTACAACGGACCAGAGAATGCTATTCTCTCCAAGAAGGAAGGATGTCCAGTCGCCCTGAATTTGAAGACATCCCGCATGTACGACCTGGTTCTTTCCTCCTCGCAAGACTGCCTGAAGGGATTCAAGAACAAGAGTGAAAATTCCTATTTCTCTGTGAAACACTGTCAAGGGAGAGGAGAGAAAGATGCAGAAGACTTCATACAAGTCAAGCCACATCACGGGTCCCTACATGTGTACTGCTTTGGATGCAACATTACAATTGACAACTTATCGCAAGAGTGTCCCAAGGAGGTCTTCATCCTGCCCATTGGAGCTCGATTTCGGATCAACAACCAGGAGTTTACGGGATCCATCGTGCACATCGAACACCAGGACAGCCCAGACCCACTCTTCACGATGAGGACAAATGCTTATCTCAAGCCGCGCGTGGACTACCAGGAACTGATGAAAGACCCGATGGTCAACAACCACTTTGTCTTCAGCAAGGGAGAGACGTGGACCCATTCGGAAACCTGGCATATGGAGATTGGATTGATCATAACCCTGCTCGTGGTCATCATAGTCCTGGCGTGCATCCTCACCAAGTGCTACTTGGACCACCGGAAGATAAAGGTGAAAGTGGTAACAAAACCAAAGCCACTGAGGAATCAAGAGATTGAAGAAGATGAGGACTCCCAATAATGCGAATGAGGGAGAGTGTTGGATAAAATGATCTAATATTAGGTATTTAGGTTAGCTATTTCAAGTAGCCTTTCATAACGGATGTTTATGGCACCGACTTTATTGGACCTTTGTACAGTGTCAGCTCATTCTTAGCATTCCCATTCTTGGGAGAAGGATTTAGCACTTCCTTTCTATTTAGGTCAGACACTTTGGAAAGTGTCGTGAGGAACAGTTTCATACATTTATTAATACATATTCTATTACTCATGATGTCTATATAATCATGTTGCATGTTGACAATAAATTATCAGTCGATTGGCAACCGTCGTGTTGTATCGTTGTTCATTATTTACCACACATTACCCTTTAGCAGTGTTGTGACATTGAAAAAAATTTACAACTCAGAAACAAACTACTACCAATCCGGTAGGAAGTTATTATCAAATCAATACCAGTACGGAGTGTATATATATCTGACTCTACCAGATTTTTAACAGTGTGCTTATTAATGACTCATCAAATTTTTATATCAAAACTTAAAAAACTTCCTAAATATTTCATTACACAACTCACTTATTTATTGACTTGCAATTCATTTCATCCGTCTTGATTTCCAATTACGGAAGGAAGTAAAAAAAAATCTGTGTGTTTGTGTCTCAATCAATTCACACACAAAAAGTAAGTAAGTAAATAACGTATGTATGTAAAAGGATGCGTGTCAATTATGTCATAATTGTGCTCACGTAGTCAACAAAGTCTTTACATAAACTGCAATTGCAATTTGCAACTGCGAAAGGGAAATCGGAAACCAGTTTTTTCTCATTATTATTTCCATCCCATCCGTTTCGTATGTATGCTTTTTACATAAACGGCAAATTGCCATTATATACTGTACACTTATTTACTCGCTGTATGTACATATGTAGCTTTTGCATTCACTTGATCATCACGTAAATTGAGGGAATTCGAGCCTAATAACTTGTAAACTGTGTAATAATAACAGGCGCAAAAATTTGTGACGGAAATTTTCGTCTGCTAGATTTTATCGTTAAACTTATGTATTTAGCCTTACAAAGTTAGCACAGTTGATAAATTTATTTAACTTACAAAGCATACAATACCGTAGCCGCATGAAAATTTGCCAAAAACTTGACAACTGTGTAAACTTTGTCGCACAAATATTCGTCTTTCGACTTTAAACCTACACTTATTCAGCCTTATTACAAAGTTGCACAGTTCACAATTTACAGAATCATGCAGAATACCGATGAAACCACATGAAAATTTGCCAAAATTTGACCTTAATAAGGTAAAATTCTTCTCTTAAACGCATTTCTTCTTCAAATTTGAATGAAATCAAAGTTAATTACAGTATATTTAGTTTCTATTTAACTTCTTGTGCAAGGATTATCTGTCCCAACCGCAAAGATCAAATTGTTTACTGACTCTCTTCATAATTTAATCGTGATGTTCACCACGACCAAATTATGCGGTATTTAATGTATTTATTTATCAAATCTGCCCAAATTTTCACATGTATTTTAAAACGAAAAGTGACGGAAGATGCTTGGCATCCAATTTTTTTCTTAACCGCATGCGCAATCAATTTCACATGAACTTTGTTCTTCTAGTCAATTATGAGCCAAGTCAGGGTTGGGCATTGTCATTCTTTTTTTGCTTCACTTTTGGCAAAAGTGCATCCCCATGAAAAAAATGAGAAATTCACTTCACAAACACACCTTTCCATTCAGTCGGCAAAGGACGGCTTGGCAGTCCACACGGTTTGCAGAATTGTTTTAGGCGACAATTAAGTCAACTCTCGTGAAGAATAATTTTTAAAAAGTTGTGTGAAAATTTTAAAATTTACGTGAGACCTAATTATTGAAAATTTCAAGGAGAAATCCATATTTTTGATAATAATTTAATAAACGGTTAAATTTTGTCTAAAAATCTTAAATCTTAAGAAATATTGGTTACAGAATTTAATTACGAATTGAGATACGACTTCAAATTTTTTGCTTCCTTCAAAATTTAAATATTTTTTGCAAGGGACAATTATCTTAAAAAAGTATTTCTTATATATTTTTTCCAAAATAATATATAATTTCATCTCGAAATTTGTATTTCTTCCAAAATTTGAATTTTATTTTTGCACCAAAAATTCATCGACATGATCACTTTAAATATTCTGATCTCGCTCGGAGTACTCGTTACCGTCTCCGCTTCGCCGAGGCGACCCCTTCCCAGTATAACGTATGACACCTTGATCGGATACGTGCAACCACCCGAGTTAAATTCGGAGACGGGCGAAAAAACGAATAATCGTGGCGATCTTGACGACTCCCAAGGCTCCGAATCTGCCGGTCCAGTTGCCGGAACTATTGCGGGTTATACGGCGTACAACATGGTCAGAAGTATGTTAAGGTAAGCTTATGCAAAAAAATTGCATTTATTTTTGAATGCAAATAAATTTTTAACCAGTTCAAGAAAAAGATATATTTTTGCATGCAAATATTTTGCAAATAAATTTTTAACCAGTACCAGAAAAAAGTGCAATATTTTGCAAATAAATTTTTAACCAGTTCACGAAAAAATTGCATATATTTTTACATTCAAATATTTTTGAAAATAAGTTTTTAGCCGCTATAAAAAAAATTAATGAGGGAAATCATTCACGCAATCATTAGTAACTTTGTAAACTCCGTGCGTTTTGCCACAGAATATAGATTCTACCAGAAGAATCGATCTTATGTATTCGAGTGACGCTTATGGAGGAACGGGAGAGCCAACCAAATAACTCGGTGTACATTTGACCCACCTGGGGGATGGCACCTCCGCATCATCATCGTCACCACATCTCCTGGCATCAAAAAATGATGATGAAAGCACATAGGTGGCGGTGGCACCCCGATTTGTGCACCAGAACACACAATTCTGAGCTGCGTCTCCACAAATTTGATGCTCTACGACGGTGTGTTCTGGTGCACAAATGGGGGTGCCACCGCCACCTATGTGCTGTCATCATCATTTTTTGATGCCAGGAGATGTGGCGATGATGATGATGCGTAGGCACCTCCCCCAGGTGGGCCAAATGTACACCGAGTTATTTGGTTGGCTCTCCCCGTTCCTCCATAAGCGTCACTCGAATACATAAGATCGATTCTTCTGGTAGAATCTATATTCTGTGGCGTTTTGCAAAATAATTTTGCCAAAATAAAGAGACGCCCTTGATCTGAGTAAGTTTACAAAAATTTGTTACCTCATTTTCCTCATAAATGTTTGCAAAATTTTGTAAAAGTTTGTAAGTTTATGGGTTTTGCAAGGTTACCAAGGTCCGCGTGAATTACCTCTATGCATTCGTACAGACATAAGTGTAACGTACTAACAATTTTATGCAAAAACATGCAAAATATTAGGATATTTTTCAAGCGAGAGATTAACGCCACAACATGTAACTTTTATTATAACAACATTAAGGTTTAGTATTAGATAACAAAAGGTTTTAGATTTGTGAACTGGTCAAGTTTATAAAAAAAGCTGAAAAATCTCTGCAGGAAAATTCGTACGTTTTTTTTTTAATTTCCGAAAGTGAAGTGAACATTTTTGCCAAAGTGAAATATAAGAATTTTGAATGTAAATACTTGCTACATTTATCAAATTTATATTTTTTGTGGGGTTTTCACGTCGTAATATTTTTAATCGATTTTCTTTACAATTTTATAAATAATTAGGTAATATAATCGTGTGGGAAAAATATTGAGGCAATTCACTCAGTCCTTGGTAACTTTGCAAAATTCGTAAACTTTATAAAATATTTTTAAGGAAAATTAGCTTACAATTTTTATAAAGCTACTCAGGTCACTTATGTAAAATATCAGAAGGCGTTGGCGAAGTGGCTTTCTTGGATCTGAAAAACAAATTTAGTGGAAAATTTTTAGTAGCAAAATTTAAAGGATGTTTTATATTTTTAAACAATTTTTGATATTTTGAATTTTCGAATTTGTACGATTTGAACCTGAATAATTTTAATTTCTCAAAATTTCATATGAAGAAAAATTTAAGATTGCTAACTTTGCATCCAGCAATGATAGAAAATAGAATACCCTATTTCGAAATTTTGCAGCGCTTGGTAGACTTGTAAAATCCATAAAATCTGTAAAACCATAAAATTCGTAAAATCCGTAAAATCTGTAAACTTACAAAATTTATCGAAATGTTTCCAATATTTCGAAGGATAATCAACTTGTAAATTGTTGTAAGTTTACTCAGATCAAGGGCGTCTCTTTATTTTGTAAAATTTGCAAGATTGCTATTTTACAAAATTTACTACAAATTTATGTACATGTGGCTTATTTGTATTAATTATGGGAAGGAAGATGCTATTGGAGGAGGATGATGAGTTATGATATTGACCGACACGTTATATAATTACGTACGCATTTCCGCTTTATGCAAATTTAGGGATGGGATAAAAATTGATAAGTAACGGTTTAGACAGCTGAGGGGAATTTGATAGTTTGAAAGTAAAAGGTGTGCACAATTTGACATACATATTGGTAGAAAGATCTCAATATTTTTACCACCACTGTGACCACAGGCCTTGATAACTTTGTAAAATTCGTAAACTTACAAAATTGTAAGAACATTTTTAAGGAATATTAGCTCTTAAATTTTTGGAAACTTATTCATATCAAGGGGGTCTCCTCTTTGGCTTCCTCCGTGCACCACGTATCTCTCTCTCGCTCTGCATCTGGCTGGATCCTCTTCCATCTGGGTCGCGGGTGTGCCAGGGCAAGTAAAGTGTGTCCAAAGGGCTTTCGCCATGTGAGCCTCGTCCACTCACTCCCCCACCTGCGTGCCTGGTGACACCCCCTGCCACACCCGTCCCAGCAACGACAAGCTGGCCATCAGGCGAATAAGGATTTCGCCGGACCCTGTGCACTGGAGGATCTACGCCTTGGAGGGACTCCCTAGGTAGGTTTTTTGTTTGGCATATCGGGGTGGTGACCGTGGGGAGTGGTTGTTTGAAGAGTGGCGGAGGGGGTCGTGCATGACGGAGGGCGGCATTGTCGGGTCTACGGGGGTCCCATGACCTGATTGTGTTGTGACGGGGAAGGGGCAAGTGGGGGTGTCGTCGGCCCCGGCTACGGCTTCCATGGGGGACGTGGGCAAGATCCCGCGGTCCGTGGACAGCCCCCGCCCAACAATCTTCACCTGTCTACTTCCGCATGCAGACGCCACCCTCATTTGGATATCACCACCACCCCATGGAATCCGCCTATGCATCACTGCCATGCATTTTCCTACCTGGTGTACGGAAGTAATGGGCCAAATGGTGTATTGGGTCACCTTCCCAATACATGTAGAGGTTTTCCGAGACCATCTCCGGTTTTCCCTCTACACCCTTACTGCCACATACATTTTATCATTAGACTATGAGCTTGTCATGTATTTGTCATAGTATGTATTTAGCCTGTATTGGGATGCCGGGTGCTACTTGTGGATAATGCCCACAACTAGATACATAGTTTACCAGATAAACTGATTTGTGTATCATTAGATGAAATCATGTATGTATATATGAATGTCTGTTTGTATGAAACGAATGTATGAGATGATTGTAAAGGCCGACGCCATATCAATCTTGAAATAAATACCTACCTACCTATTCATATCAAGGGCTTTGTATTTTGTAAAAGTTTGTAAAATTTACCGATTTTACAAAGCCCAGCAATGATTGCGCGAATTGCCTCAAACTCTAAAAACTTATAAACATTTCTATTCCACAAGTGTTTACAAATGAAGAAGGAAATAAGGTTATCAATCTATCGTGCCTAAAATCCAGAAGGTTGTGGTTACATATTTCGTAAAATAAAATTGAAAGATTTTAAGTCAAAAATGTGAGTGATTCGAACGCCGAAAATAGAAATCTATCGTACTTGTGTATTTTTATAAGGAGCATAGATGCGTAGTGCCAAAGCTTGTAGGGTTTGTTGTAGGGTTTGTTGCAGGGTTACAAAGATAAATGCCAGGTTACAAATATAAAAAACTGGGGGCATAAATTTCCAAAATTATTTTACGAAACGTACGAATTTGTCAATTTTGTTTATTTTTTTACTAATACAGTTTTTTAAATTTCTACATATTTATTTACAAATATCATTTTATTAAGGTTTAGTTTGCACTGGACGAAATATTGAGGCAATATTATTCATTCACGCAGTGCTTTCTGTAAAATTTCAATCTTTTTACAAATATTTCGAAGGAAAATTTGCTTACAAATATTAGTAAACTAACTCAATAACTAATTATTTAACAAAATTTACGGATTTTACAAAGTTACCAAAGACTGCATGAATTGCTTAATTATCTGCTAAATAGATCTCCACAGAAGAAATTAAGGTTTATTTCATTGATCAGTATCTTACTTATCATTTGCCTTATCTTCCACAGTTCATCCCCGGACGATTCTGGTCTCTATTACCTCACCCCGTTCCGTTTTGTTCGCTCCGTCGCGCGTGGAATGACCGATATGGGCAAATCTTTCGCCTCCACGTTCGCCACAGAATTCCAAAAATCATACAATCGCTTAAGCACCGAAGTCAAAGAACGCGTGATTCCAGAAGCCGCTAATTTGCTGGGGGTTTGGACCGTCCCGCCAAAAGTGGATGATAACGCGTGGATGGAAGGCATCTAAGCAATTGATGCAAAAACCCGTGAATAATTTACATTTTTTTTTACATATTGTGTACCATTTTGTTACCTATTTTTAAGAAATTTGTGTATATTTTGTCGTTTTATGTTTTTGTAATTCAAAAATTTGCAAGTTGCAGATATTATTGCCAATAAAGAAGAAATAAGACTGAATAAAGAAATTGTAGAATTATTTCGCGATTTTATTTAGCCTCGATAATTAAATTGGGTGCGCAAATTGTGACAAATTCGCATTTTGAAGTTACACCTATTTTTTGTAAAATGAAATAAGCAAAAAAAATTAAGCTTGTGCGAATTACTTAAATTGCCATTCTTATTTGTGCTGAAATTATGCGGAATTATTTTGCGATTTTATCTTCGATAAATTCATTGAAATGCTTTGTAGAAAATTGCATTTTGCAGTTGCAACCAATTTTTTTGCGAAATGAAACACGAAAAAAGATTAAAATTTTTGCGAATTAAATTCTTATTCGTCTTCATTTATTTACATTTTCATTAAATTACTAATGATTAACTTATCAATTATTTACATTGCATATATCTCTAGCTTATCTTAAATATAACCTAAATATTTAGTTGTCCAGTCCGAACCCTCCACGGATAATGATCTTCTTATGATACCTTATTCTAGTCTTGTTTCTCTTGATGCGTTTCAAATCTCCCGCCTGCGCGGGCGAGTCATCCTCCGCGCTAACGATTATAATAATATCATCCGCCGCTGGGGCCACGACAAAGTCTTCGACTTCAGATTTCCGACCTTTTGAAGAAGACGAAACATCGTCCAACGAAGGGCGACTTAATTCCGTATCTTCGTCAGTCAGGGGCACGCTGCGACACGTGGCGATGTCCAATTGGATCAGGACGACGAAGAAGACGGAAAGCAATCCGATGCGAATAGAGGTGGTTGCGAGTCTCATTTTTTTTACTGTTTTTCTGTAATATACAAAAAATTAAATAAAAATCCACGTCAAATTTCACAAAAAAAATAATTTTAAAATATTCAAAATAATTTTTTTTCATTTATTTTATTCCGATGTTTAAAAATTCATATACATATTTGCAAATTTATGTATTCGGTGTGTACCAAATTTTATAAAAATGACCTATTCATAGATTTATGTTATTTTTCTGTAACATAGAAAAAAATAAAATTTAGATTTTCTCAAGCAAAATTTTGAATTTTAAAATAAATTTGTAATTTTATTTCGCAAATGTATGAATTTTTGGAAAAAATCGTGCCTCAAACTCTATAAAAATAGCTTATTTATAAATGTAATCAAAAATCTCACCCACCTTTTGTAAAAAAATCGGTTAAAATTCGTTGAAAATAATACTGCCGGAATTTGTACAAATGGTTTATTGCAAATTTGTACCTCTCTTATTAATTATTTAACGTGTGCAATCTTGAACTTGAACTTGAAGCTGTATCGTAATTTAGCAAACTCTTTAATGAACATTTACTGCACTTCCTGCTAGAAAAATGTTTCAAAAATTTTAATAAAGTGCGTACGAAGATTTTAAATATTCAAACCTTGAAATAAGATCTGTTTAAACTGATACTTTAAGGTGGATGAGGAACAAGCTTTTATACAACTCACTAATTGTCTCGGGCTCATTAAATTTAACAAATAATTTATTCAAAATCGTTCGTAGTGGCCAATAAATATTTTCTATTTTCAACCGACGCCTAATGGTCACGTACAGCTCGGAAAGATTATAATTCCCTCCTCGCTATATAACAATTAGTATAAATTAGTACAAAAAAGAGCGCTAAATTGGGCTATTTTCCACTTAAGTTGATACATATATCATCGGTCTTGTTATAGATATATGATTTAACGTATAATTGAAATAATTACAAAATTTTATGAAAATCTTGCACGAATTATCTGCATGATTAAAATTTGCAAATTTTCAACAGAATTATAATTTCATACGAAATTGTGAAACACTGTAAAACTCGAATTTGTAGCCGGCCCCTTTCAATTTTTTTAAAGTCACGCATCTACTCTTAATGTGGAAAGGTCGCGGTTAAAAATAACCAATTTATTCAAATTTTTGGCAAACAGTTCCATTAACTCGTACCAAATCAATGCTCCATGGATGGGATTCTTCATTTGCAAAAAATATTATGCGGCATACTAATAACGAGGGAAGAATTGTTGTATAAATTATTTATTTACGAAACGTGACCGTTCGTTCGTTCGTGTGCTCTTAAGAAAAAAATATTTCACTCTGAAACAACAAAGTCAAGATCATAGTTAAGAAAGATGATGATAATTAAGTAATTATTGTAATTAGTTCATTACTTTTTACTAATTTTACTCTCATAATATTTCCTCTCTCGTAGTAAGAAAAAAGTTCACGAACACAGCTTGTGTCAATTTATTGACTGGATTTTATTTTCGTTTTCATACATATCTCAAAGAGAATACATTGCGTAATATGACTGCTGGTTAATTAATACCATGATTAAGTAAAATACCGAGTTACCGAATTACCGAATTACCGACCTTCCAAATTCATACACTGTAAAAAATCTTGTAGAGTGACATATACTCCGTACTGGTATTGATCTGGTAATACCTTTCTACCAAATTGGTAGTAGTTTGTTTCTGAGTGGTAAAATTTTCACTACCACAACATTATTAAACGGTAATGCCCGTTATTACCAGTGCCGGTAGAGTAATATATGTAGACACTCTAGTAATTAATAATTTACTACCAGTTTTGTAAGAGTGTATATATTTACTAGTTATTTGTCAACCACTTATCTAAAAAAAATTATTATTATGATAATCTCTGCGTCTAAAATTTTCTTATGGATGCAAAATCATACATAATATAATACCAACCCTATTTTTCCATATTCTTCTTATACTCCAATTAAATTCATAATTTAAAGAGCATAATAATAATGATTACGCTAAATTAGTCATATTATTTTATCCTCTAATTTCCTCATCCTCTTAAATCATGCATAATTTTCGTATGGACGTGACCTACGACACGTTCTTTCATTTCAATCTCAATCAACCCTCCGTCGCAGTCAGTTTAAAGTCAAATCTGTTATGCAACTTGTGAAAAAAAAGAATAATTTAAAAAGTTTAAAAATAAAAAAAATCCATAACAAACAAACACAATACTCCGTTGCCAGTAAATATTCCTCTGTCATTGTAAACAACTCAATGACAGCAAAGTATTTGTCCACCCGTTCACGAATTATTGTTTTAAACAGAGATCATTAATCTCTCATCGTACAATACGTAAAAAAGCGGCCTAGATTTCTTAATAGTTTCAACACTCCAGACTTCGTCCAGTCCAGAATGAATGTTGTGAGCGTATGAAATCATGTAATTTTTATGCTGGACGGGGAGCCCGTATAAAGAATGCGATCGACTTTTGACCCTCACATTACGAAGAAAATGATGGGATGATACATTACACATATGTATGCACGACTCAGTGTTTGCTACATTTCTTGCACTGGATAGTAAAAAATGCAAGAAATGCGGGGTGCAAGAAACTGGGAGAAAATGCATAAAATATGTGCAATCCAGCCACACGCCGTATGAAGGAATAGCGGCGGGGAAAGAGTTTCTTGCGCCTGACATTTCTTGCAGATAGCTGCAAGAAACCATCTTCTTGCAGATAGCTGCAAGAAACCATCTTCTTGCAGTTATTTCTTGAAACACTGACTGAAAGGTGTATATTTCGTTTCTTGCAGGTTTGCTATATTTCATGCACTGAAAAACAAAGCAATACAAGAAATGCGGGGTGCAAGAAAGTGCAAGAAAGTGCAAGAAATATGCGCCATCTCGCCACGCGGCGTCGTTTCTTGTGCAGTGCATTTCTTGCAGGTCTAAATAGCTGCAAAAAACACTTTCTTCCCGTTATTTCTTGCACGTGGTTACTTTACTTGCACCCGAAACCCTGGCACGACTCTCCAGCAGGATTGGGACGCCTCGTTAAAGCAAATTGTCCCAGCGACCATTACGATTAATTGAAGTCAATTAATAGAATGTCAACTCCGCCAGGATTTACAGATAACTTGTCGTCGTCCACCCATCTCGCCAGTTCCAGCACTTTCCATGTATTCATTTATCAACAAGAAGAAGGCAATAAAATAACAAATATATGTACATAACATCACCCATTACAGAGTTACATTTACGTAAAAATATTACTCCTTATCACTCCTATAAAATTCCATTCACTCGATCGCATCCAAAAATCCAATAATAAAATAAAGATCAAGTTTAATCCACCAATTTAATCCAGTAGTTTTGTACAACCTTAAATTCAAACGGGACAAACAAAAAGAAACCTATAAATAAATTTTGGATTTACAAATAATTTTGAAAAAAATACAAGTGGCGTTGAAACATTACATAAAAATTTAAAAAGAAATATAATAACAAAATGTGGAAACGATACTTATATTTCCTGCTGGTCGTCAATTTGGACAAGTTTATTGAAGTGGATGCCTTATCGCCACCACCGCAGGTTTATTTTGCATTTTGTTTTTTGTTTCCCCCAGAAAATCAAAAAACTTTGTAAATTTTTTTAGAAAAAAAATTATTTTAAATCATTGCGGCCATTCAGGCAGGGCTTGGTAACATTGTAAAATTTGTAAATTCTGTGAACTTGTAAACTTTTGCAAAAATTTATAGGAAAAGTTTACAAATTTTTGCAAACTTACCCAGGTAAAGGGCGTATTTTTGTTTTGTAAAAGCTTGTAAATTATTTTTCTAAACTTGTGGATTTTAAAAGTCTCCAATGAACGCGTGAATTGGCTCATTTATTTTTTACTCGATAAAAAATAAGCTTGAATATTTCCTTTAGAAATTTTAGAAAATCAATAAGAAAAAAAGAGGAGCGATAAATCTTCCAAAACGTAGCCTATTAATAAAACATTTTATGTTTATAAATTTCCGACTTCTTCGTATATCAAAACAGTAAAAACTATAAAAAATTATTTCCTTTGTTTCGCTCTAATCATAACTTTCTGATTTGGTAATATAACAAACCTTTCTGATTTTCTAATAAACATCACAAAATTTTCAGATTTCTACTTGCTAGAAATTTATCCTTATATTTTTCTAATCTTACAAAATTTTGTGATTATTTAACGCCACAAAATTGTCCAAATTTATTTTATAAAAAACTTTCCCCCCTAGGACCCCGACTGGCCCGGCTGGTGGTGTTCCGGCTCCTACTTGGGCGAACAGGGCGTCAAATGTCTCAAAGTCCTACAGAACACCGCCACCCCGGAAGAATCTGGACCCATCTGCGCCTCCCAGAAACGTTCCGGCGACCTCTTGACGCCCACCATGCTCTCCATAAATTCCAAGGAGGACGAAGACCTCGCCATTTCGGCCATCATGTGGGGCGCCTACCTTTGGGAGGGGGGCTCCATCGGCGTCTGGGTTTCCCCCAGTTCTTACCGCGACCTCAAACTTTCCGAGTCTTCCTTCTCCTCAAGCCCGCTAACTTCAAACTCGTCATCAAACTCGCCCCTCAACGCGGCCGCGGTTTCCCTGGGAATTTCGAACTATTCCAATTCCGAGTTTCGAATTAACCGAAATACGTCCTCGTGGTCGTCAAACACGAGAAGATCGTCGCCCTCGTCGGTTTCGGGGAACACGTGCGGCGAGCTGCGGATAGATGTCGCGTCGCATGGGTCCCTAGGACAACCGTCCGGATACGGGTTTAATCCGAGCACGATTTCCTGGTGGCCGAAACCATGTTACGAAAAGTCCCGGGTAGTTTGTGCCACGAGGAAGTTGACGGTGACCGGGTTGTTGGATACGATCACCCGCCAGAAGAATGAGTTGGACGATATGCGGAGGAAAATGGGGCAGATTGAGAAGGATTTTGATACCGTGAAGGATTCGCATTGCGGGGTGGATCCGAAAGAAAGGGTGGAATGTGGGTGGGGTGGGATTAAGCAGTGGCAGTGTAAATCGAGGGGGTGCTGCTATGATAATACGGCGGGGGGGAAGTTCTGCTTTAAGAAGGGTGAGGGATTTAAATTTTAAAATTCCCGCGGCGTACATAGCGGGACAAATTCAGTGTTAGTTTCTTGGAGGTTTGCTACATTTCTTGTACTGGGAAGCAAGCCAGGCAAGAAATGCGGGATGCAAGAGACTGTATGAAATTGCGACAAATGAGTGCCATCTACTGTTCAGCCGATATTAATAGTCTGAAAAAAATCTGAGAGGTTTCCTGGTAGATAATTGATATTAAGTTGAAAAAACCAAATAACCTCTCAGAAAAATTTTCAAGGAATTGAGACTATTAATATTGTCTGAACAGTAGTCACGTGCCGTTTGGCGGGTCGTAATTTCTCCCGCCTTGCATTTCCTGCAGGTCAAAATAGCTGCAAAAAACCAATTTCTTTCAGTTATTTCTTGTCCGAGGTTACTTTCTCCTGAAAAACTGCACTAATTTTGGCGTGATTTTGCCCTTACATGAAAAATATTCTATTATATTTTTAAAATTTCCTGGAACTTAATCACGAATTTAATTAATTTCAGTCTCGGACCGTGCCAAATTCGTGGAGACGAAGAGTTTGAACAATTAATTAAACGTGTCAAAAAGTGACAATGTGGGATTTTTTGAGCAGCACTCTACTACATAAACGCAATCTTAAGTACACAATATAAAACTACATTCAAACTAATTAAGAATTACTTTCCTATAATAAATAAGTATGTACGTTATTAATTAACCATCAATAAATTGAATATATTGTCAATTTCGAATTTCATCCCGTAAACCGGAAGTTTATTTCTACTCACAAATTATGGAGATCTCCCAGCGTATGCACTAAAATTTTAAGCAAACTAATTATAACTTGTGAACTATATTAAACATACACACATATTTACACATAATGTAGAAATTAAACACACCAAATATATTTTCCATGCGAGAGAATAACGCCGCAAGATTTATGCAACGATTATAATAATTAAATTACGATTTCCAATCAGGTTATATTCGGGACATGTCGACAAGACTGACAATGAAGGTCTCAGGGTATTCCGACCCCAGGTTTTACTGGGTCGATTTTATATTTTTTTAAAATTAAGTTTCCACACGCTATCAAAGATATGTATGAAGTACAAATTAAGTGAAGGGCAATTATTCAGTCTTTATTCGTATATACTAATATTTAACATCATATTCGTTGTAATTAAGTATTTAAAAAAATTGGCAAACAAAATTTGCATTTGAAATTTGAACACTACTTTGAACACGTGTGACTCCCATGAATATAAGCCCCACACTTGGAGCATTGAGGGGCCAGGCTGCTGTCGCCATCGGACTCCCAGCTCGGCCACGTCCACGTCCCCCACGTCGAAATTCTGGACGAGGATCCGGTGGTCACTCCGTGGTGAAAAGGATGATGAAACGCCATCGTCAAATATTGTGAGGATCGGTGATCAGCTAAATAATTTTCGAAAATAGAATAAAGATTTCGTAAAAAGTTATGTATGTAAATGAGTACTAGAAATTTAAACCAACCTGATTTATTGGCAATGGTTGCAAATATGATTTTGCAATTTTATGTATATTTGTTGGCAAAGTTTTTTTACTTGTGTCCAGCAGGTAAGACGGAAATCTTGTGAATTTTGGTCGTTCATAGCTTCCTTTTTATATGAAAATTTCGATATTATGAAAGCTTTGGTCATGATTAAATGTTTATGAACTTGTTTATGAATTAGTGAACAAAGTAAAATTATGTATTGTTTAAATTAAGATGCGTTCATGATGTCGAGTGGGTCGGGTTATCATCCCAAAATCGCATGCACACTGTGCCCGATAAGCTGCACAGCTTGATAAGGTAAACAGCCCTATGCCCATTGTTTGTGATGATAAGTACTTATCGTCATCCTTCCGTTATTCCATCATAATCATGGCAATTCATGACATCTACATACATATTTTATCAGCTTCATGAAGTATGTAAGTAAATTCGAATTTTTCGACCTGCCCCCCATCGCGTCGTGTCCGGAAACTTAAATTTTAATCAAACTTTAACGAAACTTGAAACAAATTTTAGACATGTAATAAATAAAATCATGACAAAATTATGTATACGGTTCAAATTAGTAAAAAAAATCGCGACAAAACTAACCTGCCACCTTAACCTTACATAGTTTTTGAAACCGCTTAAAATTCTGAATTATTCAATCTTGTAAAAAAAAGCTAATTAAAATTAGACGATAAAGGTTTACTGATTACTTTGTTATATTTTATTCGCTCCCTAATTACTCAACAAATCTATCAATTTATGCACAATTAAAATTTTGCACTGGTTCCAAAAATCGTCAATTTAAACATTTCTTCATGTCCGCATCATAACGAGCTAGGTTGAAATTGGCGCCACCTCAGAAAAAAACTTCAGAAACCGCTGCCAAGGTAGCGTTGGACGAGCAAGGTGATGACGACCAGCTTGGACGAATCATTCATCTTGTCGGCCATGTTTTTGCCATCCTTGAAGGACACGTCGTTGCAAAAGTCGCTGTCGCACCTGCACGCTTCCGCCTCCGCAGGACAAGTGTTCATGGGGGCGTATTTGAAACCTTTGAAAGGTATATTGTGGTCAGACCAACAAGCTCTCGCTCCACTCTGGTGGGTGACACAGAACGGATCTAGACCACGGAAATAGCAGCTGATTACAGGAAATTTCAGAAATTAAGTAATACTCAGGGAACGTCCATATATTACGTCATCAAAAAACGCAGATTTCTAGACCACCGCTATCGCCAAAAACAACAAATTTTGAATCATTTTTCCGCTCTGGGAATTTATATTTTAAAATTCTGGATGACAAATTTCCAGTCAGTGATTTGATGAATGGCGACGAGTTTTTAAAGGCAGTTTTGACGAGTTCCAATTTGTCTGAAGGTTTTCTAAACTTGAGATCTCCTCCTTCAAAAAGTGTCAAAATATGGAGTGTAAATTTTTAAAAATTGGCAACGATCTGCGATCGAGTTAAATTTGAAATTTCCTCCTTCGGAATTTATTTTAAAATTCCGGCCAACAAATTTGCAGAGCTAGTCTTTGTTAAAAATTAAAAAAATAAACACTCCAAAATTTGACACTTTCTAGAGATCTGAAGTTTAAGAAGTCTTCAGAAAATTGGAACTTATCGAAACTAGCTGAAAAACCGTGTTAAGCTTGACACGAGTAAGATCAGCGACCCAACCACCTTTTTTTTATTCACGTAATATATGGACGTTCCCTAAAAAAATAGATTTAAAACCGGGTGGACATTGTACCCGGTTCCTTTCTTCGTTTCGGGTCGTCGCGGTGAAATTCGAGCAGGCCACGGCTGCATCCATCTTTTCTTTCCAATCTATTTTGTCATACTGCTTCCCTGTCGGTCCATCAGGTCCATCGCCGGTGCTGGGCAGAGGATCAGACTTGCATAAGTAGCACTTCAAGCCTACAGCAGAAAATAAACCGTGAAAAACGCGTATATCGAAGTAGCTTCAGTCTCAGTTCACCCCAACCAGCGCGGGGGAATACGTAATTACATCAATATATTTAATTTAAGTAAAAATCTCATTTTGCTCCCGGTCACACCCCCTGACCTCGAGGCGGGTGGTTCGATTGACCCCAAAGTTGATAAGATTCTCCCTTTAATATTATGATGCCGCAAACCGATCTCGATTATCCTGTTGACGGACGGACGGACAGACGAAGTCATCTCATAAAGTAGCTGATATTAATGTTACTTAATTACGAGTAATGGGACGTTCGTAACCTTCGCAAAGGTGGGTGGTCAGGGGCGAATGATATCCTGATATGTTACAAAGTGAGAAGGTGTCAAAAAAATTTTTGTTACGACATTTACGAACGTCCCCCTACTCTACAGGCTGAGCTGCTTAATTTTTTTTGCGTCGACCTTCAGCGGAAGCGACATGATCCAAGATCATCAAAACCACGATGGGGACAGTGACGAGGAGCAGTTTTGATTTGGAGAACGCCATCTTCTACGACGTTCCTGTTCCGGTTCGAAACAGCGTCGTGATGGTCCGAGGAGTAGAGAAAAAGTACAATGGAGAAATTTTTTGGCACTTTTTCCACAACTTTTTTGCCATAAATAAATTACTGTTCTGCGTGTTGTTATCAAGAATGGGGGTGGTCTGATTTGGATTCCTGTCTTGTTGACAGGGAAATTTTACCCTAAATTTTAGGGTAAAAGCCCAGATAAATTTCAGGAATTTCGTAGACTAGAATTTTACAAAGCTATTTCGAAAACGAGTGTGAATTTTACCGTGCCCGGCGTGTATGCCCCTCGAAATTGGTAATTTTTGCCAAAATCTGATATAGATTTCCATATTTTATGACAAGTTGCATTGGAGTTCTGCTATTCCGCGTGGAAAAAATGATCTGCATTATTTTTCTATCTATTTCGACAATTCGCCATCAATGTCATAATAATTAAATATTGGCATTTTGCTTGTTCGAAATTTTCAAAAATTCACTTTCTTCTATTGATTCAGTCTTTTATTTGTATCAATATTTCACATCGCATTCGTTGTATCTTAATTAAGTATAAAAAATTGGCACACAAAATTTGCATCAACGTTAGCTTGAGCAAGTGTGACTTCCATGAATATAAGCGCCACACTTGGAGCATTGAGGGGCCGGACTGCTGTCGCCATCGGACCCCCAGCTCGGCCACGTCCACGTCCCCCACGTCGAAATTCTGGACGGGGATCCAGTGGTCACTCCGTGGTGAAGAGGATGGTGGAACGCCATCGTAAAATTTTGTGGTGATCGGTGCTCTGCTAAATAATTTTAGAAAATATGATCAATATTTCGTAAAAAAGTTAAATGATTGATTACAAAAAATTAAGCCAACCTGATTTATTTGAAATGATTGCAAATTTAATTTTGCAAGTTTTTGTTTTGTGGACAAATTTTTAGGATGATCGGTGATCTGCTAATTAATTTTCGAAAATAAGAGAAGGATTTCGTAAAAAGTTATGTAAAGATTACGAAAAATTAAACCAACCTGAGTTATTTGCAATAGTTGCAAATTTAATTTGGCAAGTCTTTGTCTTGTGGCCAAATTTTGGGATGATCGGTGATCTGCTAAATAATTTTCGAAAATAAGACATCATAAAAAAGTTAAATGATTACAAAAATATAAACCAACCTGATTTATTTGCAATGGTCGCAAATTTAATTTTGCAAGTTTTTGTTTTGTGGCCAAATTTTTGGATGGCCGGTGATCTGCCAAATAATTTTCGAAAATAAGAGAAGGATTTCGTAAAAAGTTATGTAAAGATTACGAAAAATTAAGCCAACCTGATTTATTTGCAATGGTGGCAAATTTAATTTTGCAAGTTTCTGTTTTGTGGCCAAATTTTTGGATGACCGGTGATCTGCTAAATAATTTTCGAAAATAAGAGAAGGATTTCGTAAAAAGTTATGTAAAGATTACGAAAAATTAAGCCAAGCTGATTTATTTGCAATGTTGGCAAATTTAATTTTGCAAGTTTCTGTTTTGTGGGCAAATTTTGGGACGATCGGTCAGATCGGTGATCTGCTAAATAATTTTCGAAAATAAGAAGGACTTTGTAAAATCTTATGTATGTAAACGGTCAATTTAAAATCAATCATAGGAAAAATTTAAACTAACCTGATTTATTTGCAACGTTTGAAAATTATGAGTTTGCAATTTTGCATATATTGATAGTTGTTGGTCAAGTTTTCTACTTGTCCACAGGTCCGACTGTAA